ATAGATAGAAGATTAGATATCTTAAAATCACATGCACGGTCTGAATGGTCCACTTAAAGGGGTGAGACTATTATTTTCTCCTTGGACTTTTCTTTTTCACTTTGTAATATTTCAGTTACAAAAGTCCAGTAACAAGCACTTCTAGGGAAGGTTATAAAGAAGCTCCATAGGTCAAGGTAACAGGTACTTGAACCATTTTTTCATTATTTGGGGAGTTTTATGTAAATCTGTTGTATAACTAAGGGACCACCTTTTGGTGTTGTGACAGTGTTACCTGATGTAACAGGTCTTTGGTCTCAGCCCATGGAAACTATTCACATGGAGTCCCTAACCATTTCTGCAGCCCTAGATAAGGCCATGAGAACAACAGGGTCACTCTGGTTCCCTGCAGGGAGGAACAATAAAAGTAACAATTATAATTTGTCAAGAACTGTATAATTATCAGAGCATTTTGCATAGAAAAACCAAGGGAAGTAAATACTGTTACTTTTTTTTAGACATGTTTTACAGATGAAAGAGGCTCCGAGGGATTAAGAGACTTGCCCAAATTCACACAAATCCATTTTTAAATTTTTGTTCTTTTAATTTTTAGCCTCAAATATTATGTCCTCAGTTGCCTTGCCCATGCTGATGAATTGGCAAATCTTCATTGCATTTACGTCTACGTATAACCCAGTTCTAGTATGATATTTCCATTGCTCGTGTTTTCTTACAGAGAAAAGACAGTCCATATCAACAATTTTCCAGTACTGTATTCAGAAGGAGCTAGCAAGTTGAGAGTTTCCACAGAGGAGCAACTAATATTCTACCACAATATTGTTTTGGATTTTTTCTTTTAAATGTTACATATAAATTAACAAGAGGTAAAAATAACAACACACTTATTTCAACATGTGATTGTGCTCAGCAATGATTATTTTATTTGACTTGTTAAATTACAACCAAAAAGACATTCATCATTATTCATTTGTTGTTCAGAATCTGTGCAGGTTGGAAATTACGGCCCTTAATGCTGTGAAACACAAGGCCACGGCATCTGGATGAAAATGAAAAGCCCTATCACTCACTTCTCCTTCACTTGCCATCAGATGATCATAGCCAAAACGTCCTCTGTGTGACAGGAAGGTGACACCTGACTCATCAAGAATTGTACTGTTTCATTTGACTTTGCCTTGTGACTGTTCAGACGCCTAAGATCAGAGCTCCTCATCTTAAAACTTCCACCCCAGAACTTTTTCTGTGATAGCACCTGTGCCTAATGATACTTTGAGACCAGAACCACCTGTTTGGCTTCAGGAAGACACCTTATCAGTTGAAAGAAAATGCTTTGAATTACAGTGTGGCCTAGCTTTGAGGTTGGGAGGGATGGTGTTGTTTACTCTCCAGTGGGAAGCTATCTACTTTAGATGAAAGAAGAATTAGAGAATTATCTGGTTTGATTCTGACATCAGAAGTGCAGATATTTGGAAAGTGCTTTAGAGCAACTTTGGTTATAAATAAGAGGGCAAACTCCTAAAACAGTATCTTGACTTAAAAACCTTAGGTTGCATAATCTATTTTAGCAGTGAGCCCAAAACTTTTTTTAAAAAATCAAGTAATGTTTACAAGAAAGAATAAAATCTTAATCCTTTTCACTTTTAAAGACAATCAGATAAGATTACCCACTGCCATTAAACACTGATCAAACTCAGTTGTCCTTACATTAGCATTATTCTGTCATAACAAAAAAAAAAAAAAAAAAAGAAAAGAAAAAAGAGAAAAAGTCCCAGTGTAAGCTTCTCCAGCAGTGAGCATGATCCCTTACTCACAAGTAAGGAAGCCAAGATAGCTCAGATATCAAGACTGAGGTTTCTAAACCATTTTTCTAAAAGGAATATGTGCTAATTAACCTCTTTTGGTTGCTACCGTATATAGAATTAGTATTGTATATACTATTACTATGAAACTATATCCCTACCCGGTCTCCTGTGTTCAGCAATGGCAACATATATATTTAAATACTTTAAAAGGACACCAGCACTCGTTAGACATATCGATCTTGAACATGAGACTGTTTGTTAGAGAACGTGAATCTGAAAAGAGTATTTTTGCAAGCTAAGGTAACACGGCATAACCAATCTAATGAAAAAGTAGGGGGAGAAGTTTCAAATACCCATCATGTTGACTGACACAACAAACAAGTCACTAACAGCTGCCTGGGGACTTTCAGGGGAGCTGGGAGATTTGAATATTTAAATCTGTACATCCCCTAAGTTTTATTTACTTATATTTTATTTTTTAGAGATGGGGTCTTTCTAGGCTGGTCCTGAGCTCCTGGCCTCAAGTGATCCTCCCATCCCTGCCTCCCGAGTAGCTGGGATTACAGTTATGTGCCACCATGCCTAGCTCATCCCCTAAGTTTTAAAATGCTGCTGTTAATAATGTATTGAACTCAGGGCCACTGAGAATGAATTTGGTCCCAGAGAAAAAGTTTCAGAACACACACAAATTGGGGCAAGTTGCTGGGAAATCTTTACATAAGATTTGTCCTGGTTCCCCTTCCTGGCTGCAGAGCCCCAGGAACTTTTCCAGCTTCCTCTCTATTCGCAGTGGCCCTTCCGGGGGCCGCACCGCTGGGCTGAAAGATGTTTAAAGAAGTGAGTTGGCAGAAAATATGCATATTTAAGAGCATTTAGGAGCAAGTTCAACCGGATTCTCTCCTGGCATCCAAGGGGACCAGATCACATCCTTTAAAACTATGTTAAAGAACAGTCCCCTAACCAGCCTTTGTGGAGGGCCACTTCATTTTACGCCGTTATCACCCTTCCCCTCTACTCAAAATGCAAGTCCCTCCTATGTGGCTTGTTAGTTTAGAATAAAACAAAACAGGCTCTGGTTCTGATTTTTTCAAGAATCAGGCTCACTTTATATTCTTTATCAGGAGTCAGCAACCTTTTTCCATAAAGGGGCAGCTAGTCAATATTTTAGGCACTGTGAGGCCATACGCTGTTTGTTGCAATGACTCGATTCTGCTGGTGCAGAGCAGAAGCAGTCACAGGCCGTGCTGCATAAATAAATGAGCGTGGCTGTGCTCAGTAAAACCTTATTTAAAAAACAGGCAATGGACTGGCTCTGGCCCAGTTCTACGTAATAACCACAAATGGCGCCTCTCCTCTGAACACTGGAAAGTGCTTCCCATGGTTCCAGCCAGATTAATGTCTACTTACACAGCATTTAGTACTTTGATAGTGGATCCACAGAAGAAGCATAAGAAGTCAGTGTGATCTGAGGATTCACTGTTCATGATCCACAGCTACAAATCAACATAAGAAGTTGGGGGGAATCTGGAAGATTGTGATTCTCTGTTATTAAGAAACCTGGGGCCGGCGTGGTGGCTCACACCTATAATCCCAGCACTTTGGGAGGCCGAGGCGGGTGGATCACGAGGTCAGGAGATCGAGACCATCCTGGCGAACACAGTGAAACCCCGTCTCTACTAAAAATACAAAAAATTAGCCGGGCATGGTGGTGGGCGCCTGTAGTCCCAGCTACTCGGGAGGCTGAGGCAGGAGAATGGCGTGAACCCGGGAGGCGGAGCTTGCAGTGAGCCAAGATCATGCCACTGCACTCCAGCCTGGGTGACAGAGCAAGACTCTGTCTCAAAAAAAAAAAAAAAAAAAAAGAAACCTGGGCCAGGCACACATGCCTGTAATGCCAGCATTTTGGGAGGCCAAGGCAGGAGGATCACTTGAGCCCCAGGAGTTCAAGACTAGCCTGGGAAACATAGCAAGACTCTCTATTTAAAACAAGAAAAGAAAAAAAAATAGCTTATTGAGAAAAAAAAAAACCCTGAACATGTAGCTGTCCCTGGCTTTTGCTAATCTCAGAGCTGCCCAGTCAGCAGCTGAGGGTAATGGTTATTCTGTGGTGGCAGGTGCAGATGCAAAGAAAAGCAATAAATTATGGATAATGTGATACTTTAGATGTCTTAAAGAGTTAATGCACCTTTTCAAAGAACCAGATCTAAGTCAGCACTGAGGGATTCACTACTCAAGCCACTGGACTTCTCAACTCAAAGGGAAATTTGGTCAGCATGTGGCTAAAACAGCTAAACAACAGAAGCAGATACATAAAAGTTGTGAGAAGAGAAGCCGCCAAGAATCACCAAATTTCCTACAGGTAGAGAAAATCTTCCCAATCATCTTAGCCAGATGGTTCAGATTACCAATGGGGAAACTAAGGCCCAAGGAGAAGGAGGTAACTTGCAGAGCCAGATGTGGCGAGATCACCACATTTCAGCCATTTCAACTTCCAATCTGTTGCTATTTCACTAAGGGGGGCTCACTGACCATTTAAACACTTATGTCATGAGGTTATGTTCTAAATATCTGGCTGCCGTTAAAAAAAAACAAGTTTCCTGTTGGCAGAGAACTGGTCCCAGAAAACACCTGAAATTTGCTGAAGGGAGCAGAATGCAGCACATCACTCATTTAAGGTAGTTGACAAAAACTGCACAGGATAAAGCATTAAATGGCCGTCTTCCCACGAATATAAATGCTGATCTCTCATGTTGTATGCTAACATGGCAAGAACAGACTGGGAAGTTCTTAAATCAAAGTTTGCATTGATCTGTTTCCCTCCTAACAAATCAAAGGCAAACGTGACCCTCAGATCTTTGGTGTCTGTGACATAGAGGATTCCTCGGGCAATGAAGGCGTTGCCGGCCTTGGATTTGGGGTACGTGGTATTGATGTGCTGCACCACTGAGAATGTCCTCTCATCCAGTTGCGCTACAAGAATGTTTGAGCCGTCCACACTTGACGCATAGATAATCCAAAGGCCCTTTTCATCTACAGCTAGATTGAAGTAAGTCTTGGAATTTGCAAAAAGGTATTTTCGATCAAAATACAAGGCATTTTCAAGCTTCAGAGTTTGGGATGTTTCCTTGCCAAATTCAAATCTGAAATATGCAAACAAAGAAAAGTACACATGAATCACTGTTTCTGTGGACAAAGGTGGTTTATTAGGCTCCTCTATTAAACTGAGTTAGTGGGTCAGGGGTGAGGGCTGGGATTTTGCATTTCTTACAAGCTCCCGGGTAATGCCTGCTCTGCTGGTCCTTGGGCAATGCTGTGAGCAGTGAGGATGTAAGAGACGATGACTGGCTGTGCTAGCAGAGGCAACAGGGAGACAGTGGTGTGGTGTTAAAGAGAATACTCCCTATAGTCAGAATGAATTTGCATCTGAGTGACCACTTACTAGCCATGTGACCTCCACTTCACTAATGCCCAGATGTTTGTTGGCCTCCTGAAATGCCCCCTCGAAGATTCTTAGAGCTGCAAGGGGGCTGTAAAAGAGGATCTAGTCCAATCTTTTCATTTTATAAGCAAAAAATGAGAAGCGACTGGCCCGAGACTACAAGTAAGAGGCAGAGCCAGAGGTTGAACTTAGGGTTTCTAACTCTAAGTGTGGTGGTTATTCCTTTACTCCCTGCTGAAATTAAAAAAAAAGAGTTTCACAGTTTGCAAAGTTGAAAAGAAAGTCACCAGGTGAGAAAGGCTGTTGCAAAGTCATGACTGTGAAAACCATTTTCTTGTCAAGTAAGTGGCTGGATACATTAAACTATAGCATGGAATGTCATGCCCCTTAGCTCCTGGAGGCTGATTTGACAGATTCCAACTCTAGGCTGTAGCATAAAAGTGAACTATAATTCAAAGGGTACTCCAGGAATGAAAATTCAGGAACATTAGGGCTAAAAGAAAACACCAGAGGGTGCCATTGAGCAGCAGAAGAAACATGAAATGTGTGAATCTGTGGATATGCGTTTGAGCATAACAGACTTGAATTCTATTAAGAAACCATGAAGAAACTAGAGAAGAGTGAGGCTTGGGAAGGTCCCTGCACATCTCAGTTCACGGGAGTTCTTCCTCTGAATACCTGGGGTTTAGTGCTGCCATTTGGCTGTGTCTAGTCCTGCCACCTCACAGCTGCATTCCTTGGTGAGACCCATCTCTCCCAGCAATTACAGGGTCGAATTCAGCTCTGCCTCTCTGTGAGGTCCCAGTCAGTGGCCTGGCATAGAGCAGTACAGTCTCCTAACCACTGCATCCAAACTTAGCTTCCTTAGAAGATACACCTCCTTGAAGAGGCCAGTTCTCACTGTGGAGGTTATCCACCTCAGAACTCCCCCCGACCCCACCTCCGTGTGGCAATAGCCCTATAGAACATGGCAGCAGGGGACAAGATTCAGTGAGCAGCATCGGATGAAGGAGTGTGTCTTGAGAGCGAGGACTGCTGAGCAGGCGGTAGGTCAGTTGCCTTTTTCTACCAGCACAAGACTGCCCAAATGAGGCGGCCAGGGAGGTGTAGAGATGATGATGGAGGTGTCATGTACAGGGAAGTGAGAGGCAAAGGAAGGGATGCTTCCTGCCACGGCTGACGCCAGTGTCCGATATGTCTGATCAAATTGCAGATTATACTAGGAAACTCACCCCATTGTAACCTGGCATTCAAACACCAAAGGTTGTTAAAGCTGGACCTCACTAAGGGTAGGGGAAGGATGAGGGAGAGAGAAGGGACTCAGTCCTCCCTCAAGGTCACTGTCTCTTGTTTTGAATGAGTAGGACTGTGGCATTCATAATACTGGGTTTACTGTTTCAGATGGGGAAGAGCTAGAAGGACTCAGAGGCTGTAGTCCATCTTTTTATTTTTAGTTGAGGACAGGGAGACACAGGAAGTGCTGTCTCTTGGTCCAAGGCCATAGAGGAGGCAGAAGAGTTGGAGCCAGAAACCAAGTGTCCTGGCTTTCGGTTCGTTGCTCTCTTGATTTGCCCAAGACGACCATCTTCTGCCTCCAAAGGCCAGAGCTTGATTTCCTCTTCTTGAACCCTAAAGACAGAACTTCAGCAACTCTTGTGGGGAAGGCTCAGCAGCTGCCTTGGGCAATGTCTACCCAGGTGACCCTCCTCGCTTCCCCGTGGGAGAGCAGAGGGCAGCCTGGGAGGACTCCATCAGGATGACAGATGGATCTGAAGGCAGAGATGCCTGACTTGGGGTTCGTTCCCCAGTCTTCAATGATCTCAGCTGTGACATGAAATTCCCCACACCCAAAATTTTCCAAAACAAAACTTCATCAGGGAGCAGCAGCACATTCCACCAGGGGGAGCTCCGAGTTCAGGCTGCTTCTCTCTCAGAGGAAGGGGAAGCTGCAGCCATTACTACTCCAGGTCCACTTCTCCCTGGCTCTGACCTTCCTCGGGCTGTCCAGACCAGCAACAAATGCAGACCCCAGGCAGGGGCTGGGTCATGGGGCTCAGTAACATATCCTGTGATTCATTCAGTCGACAAACCCTGACTGACCTCTGCGTGTCAGCCCTAGGGACACAAAGATGATGAAAACACAGTCCCTACCCCCAATTGCTCACAAAAGCACCATGGGCAGGTGTGGCCTGAGAGGCATGAGAAGGTGCCGTGGTGCGACTCACCTCACTATGGTGTTGGAACCCCCTTTGTGGTAGTAGAGAGAGTTGTTGTAAACCACGTGCCCACAGCCATGGAAATAATACGGAAGGTGGATGAACGTGTAACTGCCATTCAGAAGTGAGGGCTGGTCCTTGAATTCCTTCACCATGATGCCTGTAGGAGGGAAGCCAGGGAGAGGCCGTTACCTACCTCCAGCAATCACAGCTTGGGAGGGAGTCCTTGGGAGGAATTTCAAAGGAGGGAAGTTGAGAGTGAAGTGTTCCCTAAGGTCCCTTCTCCAGTGTGAAGAGTCCAAGACTCCCCATCTCAAAGTCCAGCTCTCCATATGGATTTCTGAAATGTCTTTCAAATGTGGTAGGCATCGAATTGGCCTGACTCCCGGGAGAACTATGTATCACCCTCTCCCACCCCACTCTATACTGTTTATCACTTTCTATGAGAGTGGTGTAGGCCTTCACCAGGAATAGCAGATACTTGGCGCTTGGACAGTCACCTCTTGCCTCCTCCCACCTCTTCCTGCACTGTGCAGCAGCCACTACTAATGCACAACATTACTTTCTTTTTGAGTCCCCAAATCCTGGTAATCTGGGCAGTTACTACCAGCTTCCCCGTTTAATAACTGGCCTTGATAAAACAAAGAAGTGGTTTCTTCTCAGCTATTTCTCCAACCAGTGAGTATGGTCAGACCCCTTCTTTAATGAGGCCACTGTTACTACCACCAGCAGTTCCTGACCACCTCTCTTTGGGACAGTACAACTAGGGTCCTGCTCAGATACAGTGTAACTGCAAGGTGGACCTTCACCTTCTCCCTGGGCTCTCTGTCCCACAGGTGGCTGGGAAAGATGTCCAAAAGTAGTCTTCTGGGAGAGGGGGCAACCTTAGAGAAAGATGGGTGGTCCACAAGGATTTTGTCTTTGGTATTTTTTTCCCATGATGGTTTGGAGGTTTATGAGGCCTGCAGTCATAATGCTATTTGTTTCCTTCTGGATACTTGTCCTAAAACAGGCGATCTCTGGGTTACCCTCGTCATGCTCCTGTGACCTGAACTTCAAAGCTTGCCACCAGCACGTTCAAAGGAAGAAAGTTTTCTGCCCACTCATTGGTCTTTCTAAAATAAAGAGACATTTATCACACCAGCTACTGAGGATTTCAGACACACACAAATGGAATACGCCCAAAGGTAGGCAATAGACGAAAAAAATACAGTTACCACATAGATATGGGTCATCGGCCGAGTGTAAGTACCTGAAAAATGCTCTGTCACCCAAATCCGGTCATCACTCTTGTTAGCAGACTCTCTTATCCAAGTCCCAAATGTCTCTGTGACTTTCAGCACTTGCACTGGGCTTCCAACGGAGGTGACCATGGATTCTGCCAAAAGAAGAGAAAAGAAAGTCACTTACCTGCCAATTATGACTTGAAGGCATTCAATTTCTGAATCTCAAGACAGGATGCTTTGTTTCCATACCTGCTTGTGGGGAATGGTGTTCACTGGCTTTCTCATCAGCTTTTCCAGCCAAGGTATCATCATTTGGTATGGCACAGGTCTCACCTAAAATGATGACAATCATCAGAGCAAACACAGCTGGCACAGTGAGATGTGTTGGACTTTATAGCTGCTGCTCTTCCCCACCTCATTTCAGGCTCTAGTCTCATAAGCATCCCTTGCAATAGGTCACCAGATTCCTTGGTTGCTTGCTTTTAAGCAACTCCAAATCATAGCCTTCCAAATTCTTCACCCTGCTTGTTGAGTTCCCAAGAAGCTTTTCAGGAGTACAGTTGGTAAGATAATACAATCCCAAAAGGATGTCAGTAAAAGCAACAAAGTGAACTGAGCCAGCCAGTTCAAGGCCTTAGCAGTTTGGGGGAAATGAGAGGCTTGCTGACGCCCTCCTGGCCCATCTGGCAGGTGGTATCACTATCATGAATGCATTGTTCTGGAAGGATTTTCACTTTCAGGGAAGCTGGTGGAAGCTGTGAAAGAGCAACCCCAGAGAATGGGGTGGTCCGCTTTATGCAGCATCTTCCTGGGAGAGGCATCAGGAGGGGAAACACAGATTTAGAGGAAGAAGTAATCTAGATTCCATCCAGCCCAGAGACACAGGAGTCCCCTCATGACCATTTCCCCGCTGTCTCTGTCTAAGGGCCTACATGGGAGTCTCCTCATGACCGTTTCCCCCACTGTCTCTGTGTAAGGGCCTAGAGAAACACAGTCCTTGACAGGGGCCTGGTTCAAGTTGGCTTGAGGCTACAGCTGAGCTATGATTCATCCTCCTTGGCTTATCAGTGTCCCCCTTAATGAATGGGCTGAATTTAGACCTTTGGTGAAGAGGTGCCTTAGGGCAGCAGAAGTAAGGCTGAGAGAGAAGAGGGAGGAGGATGCGTGTGGCCAGGGTGAAGAGGACAGGACATGGACTGAACCGCAGGCCCACTCAAATCCTGAGGGTTTCAAATCACCCTGTGGTTGCTTGATGGAAAGGGTCATCTGAAGGGGCTCCCGACCCTCCGTGATCTCTAAGCTTCCTTCCAGCTGGAAAAGCCTGTGTTTCCCTGAAGTCCTTCTGTCACCTGATGAGAGCGGGCTCAGGGATCTGTCCTGCTGCCCCCAGGATTTCAACTGGGGTTTCCACTTAGGAAACTATAGGGTATTAAAGACATGGAGTTGGAGCAGGAGAGAGGGCCAAGTTCAGACGCAAATGCCTGGCAACCAAAGACTCATTTCTAGGAGGCAGAGTGGAAGATAATGCCTTTCATTTAAAGCCATTTTCCTTACTCTGCATCCAGCCCCTGCCGATCCAGCCGCCTGATAGATTAGGCTAAGCCCAGAGACTGCTTCTCCAGACAAGAGCTGTCACTGGCTGGCAGAGCCTGTGGCAAATTAGAATTCTGCAAAAGCTCGGGTCAGAGCCCCCTTCTCTCAGGGGAGGTCCCGCTCAGTTCATTCTTCAAGGGAAGCAGAGCAAAGGGCTGATGCTAATGGCTGGGGAGGCACTGCACAGTAGCCCAGCAGAGGAGCAGCTCTGCCGTGGTCTCATGTTGCAGAATTACAATCAGGCTCTACTGAACTGGGGAGGGCGATGGTGCCATCTTCGAAAGCACAGATTCGCCCACTCTGACAGCTGACTGTGTGCCCCCAAATGTCTTTCAGAAAGAACAGTGCACCAAACAGAACTCAAGACTGTTTAGGAAAATGACAGCAATGGCCACAGCAAGGCTGAGAAATTCCAGTGAGGATCCTCCTTATGAGTGCCATTGAGGAGATGGCCGCAAGTGGCCCTCGTCATAGTTTCAGTTAGGTGACAGATCCTAGGTCACCCCTTTTGGGGGAGAAGTCCTAGCATCACCCTAGAAGTATTTTCCATTAATATAATCCTCAATTTCCAGTTAGCTTTCAACCCTGTGGCCACTGTGCCACAAACTGGCTAAAGAACAAGTCCACCAGAGGTCAAGTATTCCTTGCTCTTGGTTGGCTTGACCTTGGGTCAGGTCTCAAAGTGTGAATTTCTATTTAAATGGAAGATGCCCTGAGAGCTGGGACTTTACAGTTAGGCAGAACTGAGTTTGAATCCTAGCTCCGCTATTTACTCCTGGAGCGAGTTCCTTAGCTCTTTGGGGTATCGGTTTTGTTATCTGTAAGTTGCACACAACAATGATTCCAATATCATAGGATTATTGTGAGAATTAAATAAGCACATAGCCCTGTGCCTGGCTTAATGAAGCACTGTTGTTACTATTCGTGAGGACTTAACCAATCCAAACTTCCCCTTCATTTCCTGAGCATCAGTCAAGCTTCTCACTTCCCAAGAGTGCAAAAACAGCAGCTTAACTTTCCAGACTGTTTCAGGGGAAAGGGATGGTGGACAGGGCAAGGAGGAGGACTGGGCTGCTGGTAAATGAAGGAAGCAGGAGGAGGGAAGGGGAGTGGGAGGCCTAATTTTAATACTGTCCCTGGTCTTCAGCCCCGGGGCAGACTACGAAGACCTCCTGTGAGAAGGTTGCAAGAAGGGAACTCTCATTTTGGACAAAACCCTCCTCCCTCTATTAAAACAAATCTGGTCACAGAGCCTGGGGTCCAGACCAAGAGTTTGGAATAATTGACAGAGGAGGCGGGCCCCATGGGGGAGAGCTGGTGACCTGGGCACTGGCCGTTGAACATGTTTGGCTGCCGAGGGCCTTTGGCTCTTCTGCTTCCAGGGGGTCCTGGAGGACCTGGAGGGCCTGGGGGCCCAGGTGGACCGGGTGGGCCTTGGTCACCTTTGGCACCTGGAGAGAGAGAGAGAAAGGGAGAGAAGGAGGGAGGAGGGAGAAGGAGGAAGGGGAGAGAGGGACAGAGAGGGGGAGAGAAGAAGAGAGAAAAGAGAGAGGGAAGGAAAGGGGAGGGAGGAAAGGAGGGAGGGAGGGAGGAAAGGAAGGAGGGAGGGAGGGAGGAAAGGAAGAAGGGAGAGAGGGTGGGAAAAAGGGAAGAGAGTGGTCAGCTAAGGTCTCTTTAGACCAAATAAGGCTTTTCAGTTTCTCTACAAGTGGACAAGTGCGGCCACAGAAGCTGGAGGCAGGTCTCTGTCCACCAGGAAGGGGCAGAGATCTGCAAGCAGAGCAGATGAGGCCCAACCTCCTACGCCCTCTGCAGTCTCCTCCAGGGGACACCCTCTGCTCTGACCTGGTCTTTTCAACTGGGGTTCATAAGGGATGGTGCTTTTCTGAAGGGTTTGTCATCACCCCTCATGTGGTCAGCAGCATGGAGGAACACGGTACTCCGGATGTGTAGATTTTCTATGTAACAGAAGTGTAACAGAATTTTATATTTTTTCAAATACATTTATATATATTACCCTGTCGAAAACACCTCTGAAATTATACATGTTTTGCATAGCAACATCTGCTGTTCATGAGACAAGATGTATTAACCAAGTTCGATCTTTTCCTTGATACTTTGGTCTAAGCACAGTGCCTGGTACACAATAGGCACTCAATCAAGTCTGAATGGATGGATAGATGGTTGGATGGGCAACTGATTCACGGTCATTATTCTGAACATTTAGCATCATCCTTGCTTCCTGAGGACAGACATTATGTCTTCCTCATTTCCAGCTACTAGCAAAGTCTCTGATTCAGAAATCGTGTTCTCTAGTATTTGATAAATCTGTATTGACTACATAGTTATATTTACATGTTATATTTTTATCATATAGATGATCTCCAAGGTACTGTGCTTTAAAAATTCTTCTGCTTCCTGCTCCTCCATGAGAGTCAGCTGTTACCTGCTCTTTCCCCTGTGCTATTGCTTTGTGACTTTCTGCCCCTTACCCTCTTCTCCCACAAACACCAACTATCTGCTTTTACCCTGGGCTGGAAAAGCAGCCACTGTATTTGTAGGGGAAACGCCCCTGATGGCAATAACTGAAGTGTATCCTTAGAATGACCCTGGATGGCAGATGCATCTGAATGTGTGCTCAGAGCTAGGGAATCTGGGAGTTGCCAACCCAGAGCTTTGTTCCTTGTTTTGAGGAACATCTGAACCCCCGGCCCATCTCATGGAAGAGGGGCCGTGCAGGCAATTGAGGCCCTGAGTTTTGGGTTAAGTGAAGGTTGCCAGGTGGAGGTGGTTAAGGGGAGGGTGTTGATGTGGTGTGGATATCCCACGCAAATCTCATGTTGAATTGTGATCCCCAGTGTTGGAGGTGGGGTCTGTGGGAGGTGTTTGGATCGTGGAGGCAGATCCCTCATGAATGGCTTGGGTCATCTCCTTGGTAATAAGTGAGTTATTGCGAGATGTGGTCATTTAAAAGTGTGTGGCACTTCACACCCCACTCTCACTCTCTCTCTCACTCCTGCTCTCGCCATGTGATGTGCCGGCTCTCCCTTCACCTTCTGCCATGATTACAAGTTTCCTGAGGCCTCTCCAGAAGCCGCGCAGATGCCAGCATCATGCCTCTTGTATAGCCTGCAGAACTATGAGCCAATAAACCTTTTTAAAAATATATAGATTACCCAGTCTCAGGTAATTTATAGTAATGTGAGAACAGACTAGTACAGGTGTTAAGTGAAAATGCCAGGTAAATTGCATGCTGTTTGCAAGTGGCTGCAGTTTTCCTGCTCAGTCCACTGCCCCTGGGCTGCAGGTAAGGCGATTGGCTCATCCAGCCCACTGCCCCTGGGTTGTTTTTGTGCTAAGTTGGTTCTCCTGTCCAGTCCGCCACCACTGGACTCTCTCCTCTGTACGAAGCCTCCAGTAAAGCTCCGTGTCACATTTGCTGGCCCTGGATTTCTTCTTTAGTTTCTTGAATCTGTTGCCATCCCTACTGAGGTTGATCAGGGCTTGGCACAACAATATTTTGCCCTAATTATATGTAAAAAGGCCATTAGGATCAGGGCCTGAGGATGGCTCGACCTCATCAGTGAAGCAAATGCTTGTGCTTCCTGTCAGTTGTCCTCTGAGGTGTCGTAAGTTGCCTGCTTACTTGTCTTATTCTGGATTGTGCTGGATTTCAATATATCTTGGAAAAGAAAACTTCCTTTATTCCATTCAAGTCAACTGTGGTTTTTAGACCCAATTACCTGAACCAGGTATGCTTAGAACCCAGATCTGGTCTTGCCACATGGAGTAACATGCTCAGGTTTCTCCTCTTTGAAAGCATAGAACTCCAAAACATGCTGCAAAACAGATGGCCACATAAGGCCATAAAGGAGAAAAGACACAGGAGCAGCCCTGGTGTTCGAAGCCAGGAAGTTCTCTGGGCACACAAGCCCTCAAAGAGAGCCAGAGCGCACCCCTCTTACCTGCCAGGAGCACATCGTTGGACACATCTCCTTTGTCACCCTTTTCTCCCTTCTGCCCTGGTGGGCCCTCATTTCCCTGCAGGCCCAGTTCACCATGGTCTCCCTTTTCTCCCCTTTCCCCTGGATTTCCTGCAGCTCCAGGTATCCCTGACCAAAAAAGCAAATGACATGTTAGCCTATGGTGTAAAAAGTTCTGGCATACCACTTTATATTATTGTACTTTGTGCTTTCCAGGGAAGCAGTTTTATACACCAAATACACAGCTTTTCATAACTGTTTTAGAGCAGTAGTGTGACCATACGTTCATTAAAGAACAGCATTTCCAGGTGGCTTTGCTGGATTATTTATTTATTTATTTTTTGAGACGGAGTCTGGCTCTGTCACCCAGGCTGGTGTGCAACAGCACGATCTCGGCTCAATGCAACCTCTGCCTCCTGGGTTCAAGCAATTCTCCTGCCTCAGCCTCCCAAGTAGCTGGGATTATAGGCGTGAGCCACCACACCCATCTGATTTTTGTATTTTAAATAGAGACAGGGTTTCGCCATGCTGACCAGACTGGTCTTGAACTGACCTCAGGTGATCCGCCTGCCTCGGCCTCCCAAAGTGCTGGGATTACAGGTGTGAGCCACTTACTCCTGGACTGCTGGATTATTTTTAGAGAAATTTGGCTGAGCCAACAGGTTGGAGAGAGGAGTGAACCTCAAGAGGGTGCGATGACAGCAACAGTGGAAAGAAGGTAAGGAAGGCCTAATGAGAAGTCTGCAACCATGATGCTCAGAGGCGTGTGTCTGCTGCCATAATAGTGAGTGTTAAACACATTATTTAGTTTATTCCTAACAACATATTGGAGTGGTAGGCTTGGCAGTCATCCTTACTCTCATTTTATAGATGTTGAAACTAAGGCCTACAGTGGTTATAACAGATGCTGCCAAGTCAGAGCAGCAAAGCACCTCTGATTCCATCTCCAGTGCCCTTTTCTGTGACATTCCAATGCAAAATACTTTCAATCACAATAGGAAAACAGGTAAAGTTGCTTTAGGACAACCATTAATAGGGATGGTGAACAAAAGGTAGTGGGTGAAATTTCTGCCTCTGTTCACAGGGAGCTATGACTACCGGAATTGCTGTCCTCCCTACATTGCTAGAAACCAGTCAAGGTCTAAGTAACAGCTTGTGTCAGCCTTGAACCCTGAGCAGTGAAAGCACCCTTGGATTGTCCCAGTTCACTGCTGGGAGGTAGTTCCTAGTGGCACAGGGAGGAGGATCTCAAATAGCCTGTCAATCTCACTAAGTTGAGGGGCCAAAAACCAGAGTTTGGGGAGATGGAGATGGCTAGAATTTGCAAGATAGAAGAGCAGAAAGACGACAGCTGTGTGAGAGAGCCCTATGGATCTGCAGAGGGCTCTCTTGAACCTGTGACTGAGGGATGACTTCCACACATGAGGGAATTCCAGAGGGCTGGGAAAGGAACTCACACACTGTTCGCTATAAAATTCTCAGGGCTCACACAGCAAAAATTTCTCATTCCCACGGCCAACATGGAGAAATCTCATCAAATACTGAAATACTGGGTAGAGTCCTTGAAAAAGTCTAGTTTTAGTAGTGGGGCTAAATTAGCCCCAGGTTAAAGGCTGTGGTGGACCCCATCATTACAAAGTTTCAACACAAGTTTCTAAAGGATCAAACCTATCTGCCAGTGATTTAACTGTCTGACTCTGTGCCTGCTGAGAGTCCAAAATTTGAATCATTCAGTTCATTTAACTCAGCGTATTAGCAATTTAAGCAAGAAAAAGTATATGATCATCTCAAGGATATAGAAAAGGCATTTGATACAATTCAACACCCATTCTTGATTTGTCAACAAACTGGGAATAGAAGAGAACTTCCTCAGTCTGGAAAAGGGCATTTACAAAAAAACCTACAGCTAACATCATCCTTAATGGTGAAAGACTGAATGTTTTCTCCCTAATATCAGAAAGAAGGTGATGCTATCTAATCTCATCACTTTAATTTAACATCCTACTGGAGGTCCTAGCCAGTGCAATAATGCAAGGAAAAATAACTCAAAGGCGTACAGATTGAAAAGGATGAAGACTGTTTGCAGATGTCATGATTGTTTACGTAGAAAATCTCAAGGAATCTATAAAAAGGCTACTAGAACTCTTGAGTATACAGTTATACAGGGTCCTTGAGAGGGGAAGTTATTATGTAATATTGTACTAAGTTATTGCCAGATATGGATCAATTACCATGATACCCTATCTCAGAGAATACGTGCTCATTTTAACAACCGCCCCTTGGAGATATTGCTTAACAGAGGTATTGCCCAAGTGGCAGAGATTTCAGTGATGGGGAAGTGAGCATCTCACAATACCCCACAGTTCATATCCAAATGCCCTGCATTGCCACCAGATTAATTATTCCCTAAAACAGCGATTCCCAACCTTTTTGGCACCAGATTCTAGTTTCGTGGAAGACAATTTTTCCATAGACCGGGGTGTGGGGAGGGATAGTTTTGGGATGATTCAAATGTATTACGTTTATTATGAATTTTATTTCTATTATTACATTGTAATATATAACAAAATAATTATACAACTCACTATAATGTAGAATTACTGGGAGCCCTGAGCTTGTTTTCATGCAACTAGACAGTCCCATCTCGGGGTGATGGGAGACAGTGACAGATCACCAGGCATTAGATTCTCAATAGGGTTTGTACTCCTATGAGAATCTAATGCTGCTGCTGATCTGAAGGGAGCTCAGGCAGTAATGTGAGCACTGGAGAGTGGCTGTAAATACAGGTGAAGCTTCGCTCAATCATCCGCCGCTCACCTCCTGCTGTACGGCCCAGTTCCTAACAGGTCATGGACTGATATGGGTCCAGGGGTTGGGGACCCCTACCCTAAAAATAAACCTAGAGCTCTTAGCACCTTTCATTTACCCCAGAGCAGTAATAAATATTCAAAATGGTTTCTGCTCTTCCATATTCATGCTCATATTCCATATTCAGGGAAGTGTCCGCAGACTATTCTAAGGACGACAGCAGTGCATGACAAAGCCTCAAAGTGTTGATCACTGTTAGAAGAAAACTGTAGTGAATAAAAAAAAATTGCTAGATTTCAACCAACCAATAAAAAAAAAATCTTAGTGAAAACCATGAAATTCAGCTACAGCTGGGAGTCAGAAGTCCCAGGGTCCTCACCACTACCAGTGGTAAGCTTGGACGGTGGCTGCCTGTCCAGTGGAGCTGGGGGAGCACAGTAGAAGAGGATGTGAAGAGGAGCAGGGGATCCCTCCATTGTCAGCGGTGGCTCTGCCATGGATTCAGTGATATAGGGGTCAAATCATGCCTCTTTGAGGGGTCATGGCTCGTAATACCTCCCTCACGATAGCACCAAAAACCCATTGCACTGGCTCCTCCCAGCCCTCAGTCATCGGGACATCTGGGTGGAAAGTGGTTCACTCACTTGAGAAGAGCCCTTCTGCCAGGCCCTCTGTGTGAGAAGACATTCTTTTGTCAGTGTTTTAAATAGGCAATTTGGCACATCATCTGAAGGAGACAAAAGACAGGGCATTGCCATAGAGTCCAGCCCGCACAATGCACCAAGTGTAACTGACACCTTCGAAAGGTTTCACGTGACCCAGATTTAGCAGTGCTCAGGGAAATGGTATCTGCTGGTTACTGCAGGGATATATTCTTCAGGCATTTATTCTAGTCACAAACAGCCTTCTGCATCATCATCTTATTTCCCCTTCCTTTCTTTTCTTTCTTCCTCTTATGTCTTGTCTTGTCTTTCTTAGAAAGGCCATATGTGAAATAGAGGGCAGCTGTTGTAATGCGCCCCCCACAGGGGCAGGTATTTAAAGCTATTCAAGGCCTTTGCTTGAGGCTGCATTTTGACTCTAGTTGGGAAATGCATGATCATTTTATAGCTTTCATTAAGAAAGGGTTGGGGGACATTTTGTCTGCATGGAGTCTGCCTTTGCCCTCTTGTCCACCATAGCTCTGACAAAGCATCCCCTCGTCTTTGTTGGTAAAATTGCCCTGGCTGTGCTTTCGCCGTGGTATGTCAGAAATTAAATACCACCTAATCACGATTCACCATCAGGAACCTGTGTGTGGCATTTTCTTCCCTGCCCTGTCCCAGGGAAGGTCAGGGATGCCAGCTGTGCAAAGTGACACTATGACACTATGTGATGTGGACCCCTGGCTGGCTTTGAGTCGGCACATTCTGCCAGAGAAGAAAGGCCAGACTCTGCCTGCCTAACTTGTGCGAGGAGTGGCTCTCTACTGTTTTTCTCTGGTGTCGCCCACTCAAAACAGTTTCATCAGCATTCGGGTTTGGAGTTGTGTGGTATCTCGAGACTGAGGTCAGCTCTCATCTTCACAACATGGGGTGAGGGAGGATGTTTTATTTTCAGCAGTATCATCTGTTGCTAAGGCGGGGGAAAGGGGCGAGAGGGTGTCACACAAAACCCAGTCCCGAGACACGAATATGGAGGAGGGCTTTCATTTCTGTTTTTATAAGAATTTGACTTTTAGAGAAGATACTGCAGCATTAACTCTTAAGTGAGAAAATGAGAGGCAGCTGGAAGGAAAGAAACTGCTTTTGAGGCAATGGAACGTCAGACTTCATAGAAGATGCTGGTTGCACAGTTGACAACATTTAGGTTTCTTTCAGTTCTGACCTTTTTCTTCAGATCTAGGTTGGTGTTTCCAAATGAATACAGAACACTTCCACTTAGATTTCCTTTTGGTTTAAAATAAAGTTTCTCCTTCCCCACTTTTGAAAACAACAATAATAGCTAACCCCAGTATAGCACTTACAATGTGACAAGCCCTCTTCTAAGCACTTTGTATATATTAACTCATTTAATCTTCCTAATAACACTATGAGGTTAATATTATTATTGTTCCCATTTTACAAATAAGGAAATTGTGGCACAAAGTGATAACTTGCCCAGGGGCATACCGCTTGTAAGCGGAAGAGCCGGGACACAAATCATCTGGCTCCAGCTCTGGCTCTGAGCTATTCCACCATCATTCTTAGCTTTTCTAAGGTCAGAACCTGAGAAGCTTTGATGTGTCAATCTCCTGGAAGCAACCGTTAGGCTACAGAGCTTAAACTCTGGCTTCATCAGGG